AAGCAAAGCTGTTTTTACTTATGCAAATGTTCTATATAAATATATACATTCACTACACTAGAAGATCAAATTATTACATATATTCTGTACTGACTTTTTTTTAGTCAAAAATAATCTAATAATCAATTAGCAAAATAATTTAAAAGCAACTGAGATTTAAAACCAGAACAATGCATTTCATATATAATCATATATATAATCATATATAAAATAACTAACATATACACAAAAAAGGACTAAATTAGGACATTGAAATAAATATTAAAAAAAAAAAAATTATAAATGTGGACCAGCATTGCTACATTGATAAATGTACAAAATGAACAGAATGGGTTAAAGTGGCTGTGGTTATTAGTGTATATCTTGTCTAAAATGTGTCAGACTCCTAATGGTAGTGATGTTTTCCTGTTGTTCCCTACTTTGCATTATTGGCATTCACAGCAGGTGGTCCCGCCACTTCCCTTTAAAAGGAGGACCCTCAGAGGTCCACATCAGACAGCTTGCAGCGAGCAAGGACTTCGCACATCCAGCCCCCTATCTTTTTCCCCTTGCACGATTCTTTTTGGCTACAAGAAGGATGAACCCTCAGATCGTCATCAGACTGAGCTGGCTTCTCAGCACACTTCTCCTCTCCACCAGCAGTGGATTTACACCTGAGGACATCAAGGAAGCCCTGCTGAAAAACCTTAACCTGCCTGAGGTCCCAAGGCTGACCAAACGAGACACTGAGAACCTGATGATCCCCAGACACATCCAGGCCAAGTACATGTCAATGCTCAACAAGCACAAGGAGAGGAAGAAGAGGTCTTTGCCCAGCCTAGCTGGCATTCTCAGAGGAATCACAGGAAATGCAGGTAAATGAACTCATGGAATAATTATTGGAATATTTATTGATGAATGCAAATAATGTATTGATTTATTGATAAGTGCAGTATATTTCTTTATGGTGGGATATATATATAAACTGTTGATTCACAGTTCAACAGACGTTGCTGTTTACAGTCTGGAAACTGGTCCATTACACAATTTTGCAGACATTGTTATGCATGGTCCAATGTCCTTTCATCTTCTGCGCTGAAGATGGCATATTGTTATGCAAATTCCCTAGTGAAGGCAAAATCATTGCACCCTCCCTGATTGAAAGACATCACCAATCAACATTTTCTGAAGATGCTAATGTTTTTTTGGTTATGTGTTTTTTTTTTCTCTGTTAGATATTTCCGGAGAAGTAATGTACGCCGACTCCACTAGGCAGACCCTGGTCTTTGGCATGGAGTCCAGAATCCCCCAGAACAGTGAGGTCACCATGGCTGAGCTGAAGCTCTTCAAACTGCCCCCTACAAATCAACCTGACAGGCGCTTGCAAAGGCCCGTCAACAATGCAAGAGTCAGTGTCTACTACGTGGAAGTATTGCAGGACGGAAGCAACAGGAGCTCACTTGTGGATTCTAGGTATGGCAAACCCTAGCCATAAAAAGCATGCTTTATTTTTCCCCCCACACATCTGTTTTATTAATGCCTGGCTATAATTACTCAACAGCTTCCGCATCTCACACGTAAGATGTGTGCCTCTGTTTTTTTGATTCTTTTTCTTGAAGTGAATAATCTGTACATATAAGCTTTAAGTCTTTAGAAGTGAGAAAGAAAGCTCTTAAAAATTAAAAACTTTGTTGTACCTAAAAAATAAAACAAAGGGAGAGAGAGAAAAATGGTAAATAAAGCTTTCCTGAAAGAAACATTGACACCTTGCTAACCTCTCCGGAAAATGCTACCTGTCTGGTTGTCATCCTAGTCCTCTCACTTTGAAGTCAATGACCTCCAGGCAACTAGCATTCCCAAAAATGAGGAATAATAATTGAAGCGGCCATATTTTAATTTCATCAAAATTGGGCAAACTGATAACTAGCTGATGAGCACTGTATGTCTTATTTGCATTATTTTTTAGGTGATTTATTTTTTTGTGTTCTGGCGCAGCCCTACCAGAGACTGCTTTGACATCCTCAGTCTTATGAATATTACTTGGCTGATGTTATAATTGCTTCTTTATTTCTTGTGAAGGAAATCATGTCTGACTTTTGAGTTTTCATCCATTATGCAGGCTGGTGCCCATAATGGAGTCTGGCTGGAGAAGTTTCGATGTGACGAACGCTGTGCATTATTGGCTAAGAAGCAGCGGACAGTCCGACATGCACTTAGAGATCAGAGTAGATGGCGAGAGACATGGCAACTATGCTTCAGAGATGGCAAAGCTGGTTCGATTCACTACCCAGAATCCTGCCAACAACACTGTGGGGAAACCTGAACTGGTCCTGTACACTCTCAACCTCGACGACCACGGGTAGGTACAGACTACATTCCAATATTATTGTTATAAGATATATTCCTTTCTTCCATTTACCAAGATGTCCTAGTAGACCAAAAAGACCTAAAATACCTGTAAACGAAACTGTATACAAAGGGATCCAAAATGGAGACTTTTACACTTTTCTGACCATCACCAACTGCTCCTTGATATTTGGTGCATTGAGCCAAGCAGGTGAAGTCATCTTTACTTTGGAGTAGATATAAAACTGATTGCAGTGGCTTCAGCAACACAGTGATAGGTCCAAAGTTGTATACTTTTGCCTTCAGGACTTGTACAGATAGAGCTTTGAAACTGAATTCCAGACAAAAAAAAAATGAATGCAGCTCTGTATTCAATAAAACATAATTACAAGTATTTTTAGATGCTAGTGCACTTGAACAGGGGTGCCACCAGACATAGAGGAGTCCAAAGTGTGAATATGACCTGGAATCAGCCTCTTGATGTCCTGGTACACCAGAGGCTTTTCTTTGTGGTCTTTGTGTATTTTAGGACAAAACAAAGGTCTAACCCTTTCCAACTGCTTCCCAATAAAGTTGTATTACTTTTTACATATAAAAAGAGAATATCATTTAGGCCATTATAGTGAAGTCACATTGTCTGTATGAAGCTGGACCCCTAACCACTTCATTTGCACCTCTTCAGAGCCTCCGCTCCTTCCTCCATCAGAGCCGCAACCAAAATACCTTATAATGGTGTTCAGAGAGAGTGGTGACTTCACCCTTTCCCATCTTTTCCCGTTCTTGGGCCTAATGACTGACTACTAGGCCCAAATACTAAACTATAATAAGAGTTCACATGCTGCCCAGTACCTGGACCACTGCATATTTTTTAGACAATAGAAGAAGGGGGTAGGGTGCTGGATAGTATAAGTAGATAGTAGGGATTCACCGATACTGGTTTTTCGGTATCGAGTATGAATACCGATACTTTGCTTTCGGTACACGTCGATACTAAGTACCGATACCGGTGCTTCCGCTGGCATGGAGCCCGCTTCCCGGGCAATATGATTGCCCAAGAAGCTGGCTCCATGTTGTCTGGCCAGCTTGATTGTGCTTGGCCAGGAAACCGGCTTCTAAGCCAATAAGCATCAAGCCTGCTTCCCGGCCAATCAGGAAGCCAGGTGCGAGTAATGACTTTGTTTGATGCTGATTGGCTGGAAAGCCGGCTTACCAGCCAATAAGCATTAAGCCGGTTGTTCGGCCGGCTCGATGCTTATTGGCTTGGAAGCCGTTTTCCCGGCCAATCAATAAGGAGCCAGCTTCCCGTCATTACTCGCTGCCCAGCTTCCTGATCACACAGGCAGCTGGCTCCAAGTTCCCCTACGGCAATGTCGGTCAGAGGAAATCTTCCTCTGAGCGGAAGTTCCGGTATCGGAGAAGGTATTGATTATTTGGGCGAGTACTCGCCCAAATACTCTGTATCGGCACCAATACCAATAGTATCCGTACCCTAGCAGATAGTATAAAGTCTTTTTAAACAACACAAATATATTAATAGTAGCAATAATACTAACCAATCAAACTGACTGTTGCATTGCACAATGCAATTTTTAAAATGCAGGCCTCATTCCTTCTTTGGATCCTGCGAGAAACTAACTACTAAATACTCTAATATGATGTGTTTTTGAGTACCTAGAAAAGGATGTTTCTAACAGTTGTTCTTCATTTATCTTTAGCGCCCGTGGAGACTGTTCAGCACCCGGTGCCCAAAAGGACAACATCTGCTGCAGAGAAGAGTATTTCATCAACTTCCGAGAGCTGACCTGGACCCAGTATTGGATCATAGAGCCCGCTGGGTACAACGCTTTCCGCTGCACCGGGGCCTGCAAGCAGCCTCATTCTCACACGCTCAAGTACCGCTACGGAGAGAGGACCTGTGCCGTGGTGGAAAGCTCCCCTTTGCCTGTCATGTACCTGGTCAAGAAAGGCGACTATACGGAAATCGAAGTAGCCGAGTTTCCTAACATGATCGTCGAGAGGTGCGGTTGCACCGCAGACAACATCTCCATCATCTAAAGCGGCATTAGAAGGAAGCTCTTGGACTCTGATGTGCTGCTTACTCCAGCACTTGACGACGTTTGCTGCACGGCTGCATGCGGAACTGCTTCGCACCGGGCAAAACTTTGCTGGTAAAGTTCCCTGGCGAATAGACAGTCATAATCTGAACGAATGTTCTTAGGAATGTCAATAATAGGCCATGTAGAAGCACTTACCTGTAAATATCACATGTATATTTATCTTTATATCCCTCTGGAGGCACCGATGGCTATCAGAGGGAATTTTGTTATTTCTATTATATGATCATTTTTTTTTAACACAGATCTTTAAGTTCTGAATGAAAAACAAAAATAAACAATTTTTATCAATTTTTTTTTATATATTACTATGTGTGCAGAAAAAATGATGTATAATAACATTTAAATAACACATTGTTAATCGTGGTCAAACGGGGCCGATCACCAGATATACGGTATGAATGCATCTAAAAGAGGACCTGAACTGTGGAAGCTGTGCCAAAAAACGTATGCAGAAAGCAAAGGACTAGTCACCAGCATTGTCAGCGGTCTCCCTGGTTTCTTTCCCCATTACTGGCTTAGCATGCCTTGTTCTGTGCTGTGTTTCTGTATGGAGGCGGCCATCTTGGTAGAGTCAGGGCTTTGCTTCCTCATGTCAGAGCCTCCAGCAAGGTTAACAGTGAGCAGCACAGCATTGACATCACTAATCCCCACTCCGAATCTCCTGATATATAGCTACACAACAGTAGAGCCTAGTTCTCTTTAGGGTCACGGGAGGACATATACTAACGTCCTACTGTGACCCAAAACTCAGTACTGTATATAGCAGGTTATTGCCCACTATATGCTGAGAGCGCCACAGCCGGGACGGATCCCGACAATATGGTCGAGAGCCACCCAGCTGGCTGATTGACAGCTAGCTCTGACTATCTAGAGGCAGAGCCAGCTGTGCCCGCCCCCTACCCTGCCCGTTCCTCCAGTCAGCCCTGGAGGATCGGAGAGGGGAGAGGGGAAACCCTGTGGGGAGCGGTGACAGACAGTCACCGCTCTCTGCAGGGAGATGATCAGGAAGTGAGCGAGCGGCGCTATATTTTTGCTCACTTCCCGATCGATAGAGCCGACCTGTGACAGTTTCAATGTCACATGTCGGCTCTAACTATGGGGATGAGTGTAATTTACTCACCTCATAGTTCTCCTTTAGGGAGATCATTGGTCAGCACAGTCAGTCAGTTGAACTGAGGCGCTTATTAGCAAGAAAAGCTTCTCATTGGTCAGTGCAGTCAGAAGCTCTTCTTATTGGTCAGCACAGTCAGGTGACCATGCTGACATACGATTGATCTCCAAAATTTGAGATACCGAGCGCAAGGCTGCGCTGTTGTGTGCCTATGGTACACCAGCAGCCATAAGGGGAAGGAGCAGCAGGGGTGGGGGGCAGGTTGGTGGGGGTAATTCCATTTTCCCAAATTCGCCTGGGAGAGTGGAATTACCCTTTAAGTGCATTTTAAAATGTACAATGAAAAGCGCAAAATTCAGCATACATGAACAGTGACTGCAGCTGAATGGTGACTGTTCAGATGCTTTAACAAAAGCTGATTGAAAAATCGACTTCTGTTGAATGGAGGGGTACCGGCAGGGTCACACATTGCTTGAATTAAAGCCGAGTCTGCAGAAGTCAAATTAAATTCAGGCAGTGTATAGCTAGCTCAGAAGGGCAGTAATACTACAGATCCCTCCAGGATGAGCAGATTGATTAAATTGAATGTAAGATGCGATGCAGCTTACCCCCTTTTTTTTTCTTTAATGGCATATGAGTTTCGGACCAGGTTCAGTCCTGAGCTGAACCTGAGCTCCTCCAAACCTGGAAGGAAGCACCTTCTGCTGCCACCCAGTCAGCTGCGGCCAGGGAATGATATCATGACCCAATATAACCTTGTGACTATATAAGGTCAAAGATGTCACCACAATGCCCCGGCCTGCAGCTAATTGCGTGGATGGCCCCATGTCCCTCCAGGTTTGGTGGAGCCGAGGGCTGACCTTATCCGTACTAACAATGAACTTCTCTTATTTGCTCCCTTTTGGTCAGTTAACTATACTGTATATGAATGAAAGTATTTTGTTATATCTGTTCTATGAAAACAATGCTCCTCCATAGACACAGTACAGTGAGCGAGCGTTGTCAACCCAGGACAGGAAGTGTGTTAGTGACAGGATGCAGCCAACACATCTAAGGAATGGGAAGCTGCACTATAATTATGACATCTTTGTTCTTGGGTTTAGATTTAATAATGTCGCTCAGTAGCCAATGTGCGCCGATGAATGGTTATCTTGCTATCTGCTGAGCACACAGAGGTAAAAAGATTGTGACACCTGGCCTTACAGACTCATTACTATCTACAGAACAAACACACAATCCACATCTCAGCAATAACCCCCCTCCCTTTAGCTGCTGGGCTGCTGGGAGGCCAGCAGGGAATGAATGGAACAGGAGCCGCATGCTAAGTCTGTACACGCCGCCCCATCAATTTGAACGCTGCATACCATTTCCTGAGCAAATGAATCTGTTTACAAACTGGGCCCTGGAACAGACAGCGCAGATCAGCTCAGCCAGCTACCTTAACAAGTAATTAGTAGATGTCAAATGATCCCCAGGCTGATTCAACAAAACATGTAGCCTGGGGCACACGTGAAAGACTCCCTGCAGCCCTCCCGACGGTTATTATCAGTTTTGTTATGCGCAGCAAAAGCAGGCGTCTTGCAATTATGCTCAGCCTATAGAATCTATGGTGCCATCACCTGGACAAGCTATCAGGAATAGCTGGCGGTGACCGTGCCAACATCTACTCCTGGTAACCAGGGACGTCAGTGAGCTGGGGCAGGAAGCCGGACAGAGCGTCACAGGTTGCTAAGAACTCTAAAGGTGGCCATACACCTTACAACCATCGCACGACTTTTGTTGTGCGATGGTTGTAAGGTAATTAAAATCTCGTATGATCTGCCCATCTTGGACAGGCAGATCGTACTTGCGATCATCGCAAGCCCGCCCCGCTGAGGGGAGGGCTTCCAATGATTCCAATGCTGATCGGGCAGTGTGCGCTTGCGCACATCGGCCCGTTCGGCATTCGCCTTCCGAGCACGCCACTAACCCGCAGAAAATCGTACGATTTTCGACAGGTTTTCCAGCGTGCTTGGAAGACAAAAGACGTGCGACCGTACAGTAGAAACTGCCATACACCTGCCGATTATCGTACGATCGCGGGATCACCAGCGATTATCGTACGATAATCGGCAGGTGTATGGGCACCTTTGGCAACATGGGACGCTGTGGTGCCCCCATCCACACTGCCACCCCCCAATGAGTTGCAGCCTGAAGCAACTGCCTCAGACTTCCTCATCATAGGGGAGGCCCTGTGTCTACATGCACTCCAGTGAAGACTGCATGGCATTTCTCGGGGAGATCCTTCTGTTGGTGCATGTCTGTGCAATGTGCGCCAACAAGACCATTAGAAGCCCATGTGACAGAGTGACAACACAGCAGTACAGTTAGGAGACAGGGACAAAGTGTTGTCACCCTATATCCGTGTCTTAACAGGAACTTTAATGGTGGCATCACCAGCGATTATTTTAATAAAACTTGCAGATTTAATAATACTGATGACAACTTTTGAAATGACATGAACATGTTAAAGCTTACATGAGATATTGGTGATTGGGTTTACACATATTCCAATCTGCAAGCGCTTGGTGGAGGTCTCATAACAACACATGGAGGGAGTAACCAGGAACGGACATCAGTACAATTGCACAGAGGGGGCTGCTGTTCTGACAAGCTTCGGAAATCTTGCAAGAAAAAAAAACAAGAGCACAGCGTCTTCTCCTCAAGAAATACTGTTATTTATCCATAAAAAAAACGAATAAAGTTATACTTACAAACAGTGTCTGTGTAATACGCATTCAGAACAACCACCCAGACTAATGGACCTTGGTCAGCATTTAAATGGACTGTCGGACAACTAAAATGTGAGCCGAAGAGGCCATTTGCTCTAATGAAGAGGGTCTATCCCTAGAAACACTTCAGTTAGGACGCATTTTGATTGCTTCGGACTCACATTTTAGTTGTCTGACAGTTCATTTAAATGAGAACTATGGGGTTAAGGCTTTTCCCCATAGTTCTCCTTAGGGTAACGGGAGGACACAAACTAGCGTCCTCCCATCACCCTAGGCTCAGTATCAGTATACCGTGAGCTATAGCTCGCGGTATACTGAGACGCCGCAGTATACCGCGAGCTGCTGCTGGCGGTATACTGAGACGCCGCAGCTGAAGCGGATTCCGACAATTGTGCCGGGATTCGTCCAGCTGCGTGACTGACATCTGGCTCTGCCTATCTAGAGGCAGAGCCAGCCCCCTCCGCCGTCCGTTCCGCCAGTCAGCGCTGGCAGATCGGAGCGGGGAGGGGGGAATCCAGCCCCTCCCCTGTCACGGCAGAGAGCCGTGACAGGTTTGAGAGGTGAGCGAACGCCGGTATGTGTTCGCTCACTTCCCGATCTACTGAGCCGACCTGTGACAGTCTCATTGTCACAGGTCGGCTAGAACTATGAGGTGAGTGAAAAGCACTCATCTCATAGTTCTCCTTTAAATATAGTTGAGTTTGAGACCTCTGCTCTATGCAGCCACTCCTGTCTACATGCACTCCCTCCACTGGCTGCTGCATGCCATTGCTCAGGGCTGTCTTGCTGGTGGTAATAATGGCTTAACAGGCCTGCGTAATAATAAGCATTAGCATGGTTGCTTTTAGTCTACACTGGAAGCATATGTGGCGGTAAAAACGTAGGAGAGCAATTTGGAAACAGGGAGTGTTGTCACTCTATATCAGGAAGTGCCTGAACAAAACCTTCATATTAGGATCATTGGGTATTATTTTAATATAAGCCACAAAGATTGAAAATGAGTTTAAAAATTAACATATTATTTATTTATGAAGCTTGAATGGAATTTTAGTAACT